CGCACACTCTCCTACCTCTCCCCCCCCTATACGTATTCTACTCTCCTAACCGCAGTCCGACCTTTTTCCCCCTAACCTCACTGTACTCCCCTTCACACTCTCCTACCTCTCTCTCATCTCACTCTCCTCGGCGCACCACTCAGCGCTCCAACCACCGGGATTCCTATTGGAAGCCGCCAGACAACGTTCACTCAGTGGGAAGTCGCTCATTCACCTCTGCTACCCCCGGTCTGAAACTCCATTCCCTCAAATACTCCTCGTGCTTTTGACTCCCTACCCAAGTCCAGGCTCAACTTTCCTCTTCTCCTCTGCCGATGACCGACCAACTCTCTCGCTAAAATGAATATGCCCACCGTGCCTATACAGTGTCTTGAGATAAAGTTGCATTCATACCCTGTGTCTAATCCACATTGTATCGAACGTATGTGGGGATAACATTGTATGGGTGCACATGAAAAAAAAGTATACATTTTCCTCATGCTAAAAATATTTGACAAGGTCCTTAACAAATGGCTCATAATACATTTGCGGTGATGCGGTCCAGTGGAAGCACGTTCACCATTTGCTGCGGAGGTTCACGGTTCAAACCAGTGGCCGCCCCGATTATTCGTGCGCTTGTGACAACGATGATAATAATACTACGCGCCGTCTGCCCCCAGTGGACGGTAAAGATCCACTGGCGTAATTCGAAAGAGTAAAACAGCGTCATGGTCAAAATTGTCAAAATTACTAATAACCTGAAATTTACTCTTTTCGGGAATATAAATAGGAATCATCATTGCTCCCAACTGGTAGACTAATGTCCCAGGTCACTCTTGCAAATGGGACTCATCTTGGTCTCTTGAATTTACACCTGGTTAAACAGAATAAGCTTAAATTAAACATTTGTACGTATGGAAATAAAACGTTTGTGGCAATTACCGCTTGTCAGGGCAGAGGGAAAACTGCGACCTTTAGTCACAAACAGAATTGATTATGCAGTTGGTCGGAAAAACTGAAATTTCTGATAGCATAATGTGAAAAGATTTCCATTCGAAGATTAATTGATAAACCTATCCTGAATAATATACAAAGGTAAAATAAACTAGGTTTTAGTTGCAGAAAATTCCAGAATAAAAGTAAATGTGTTCAGCATTTTTTTCTACGATATCAAAGCAGTTCTTGATATTTTACATTTCCATTGCCTTTTTATAATGACACCAGGTCTTCGCGAATTTGGGAATTTCTGTGGCATTGTCTCATTTCAAAGGAAAACGGGAATCATCAAGGGGTTAATGTAAAATCTCTGCATAATCCAAAATCTGAATGCAGCATTTTTTTTTATCCTTAAGTCTAAATTCGCAGTTTTGCAAGCAGCTTGCTGGAATTTAAGAGCCCATCGACAGGAGGTCTCGTGCAAGAGCACAAATGCAACGTTCCCGCCAAAGGAAGAGTTACGACATTGATTATAGGTCAACAAAAGCTTCATTATTCTTCAGGTAGGGGTCTGGAGCTCAGTAAGCGCTGGACTTTTATTGAGACATCAAACTTCATCGCAGACACGGGCTTCAGTTAAGTGCGAGGGATTGGCCAATTAAATCTAATCACGCTACGATCTCCGTGCTGGTCTCATTAAACCAGCAGGATATTGTTGCCGTGTCCCATCCCGCCGAGAAGATATCCTACGCAAACGCATTCCACCTTGTCGTTGCATTAAATACATCGGAGGCGACAATTCTGATTTACACTCGAGCTTTCAGTTCGATGTGGCCCTTTGGTACACACGAACATATGTCTCCATTGCGCCAAAGACCGACTTGTTTACACGAGCCTTCTTTCCAGACATGACCACCGCAGCGGAGTGGAGAGCCTACACGTCCGTTCTCACGATAACGACCTTTCTCAAACACTGCACCAAAAAGTCTTGCTCGCTTTCTTTATTTAGGAAACGACTTTAATTGAGTTCAGGGACACGGATGTAACAAACGATGCATTGTGTTAGTGCCGAGACCGCAAGGGCCAACGCAGCTTGTGGATTTCTCCGGCCTGCAAACATCATTTTGGAAAAACATGCCATATGAAGTTCGCGCCAGCCAGGAAAGCACGCCAACATCAGGCTTCGGAATCTGCCGCTTGCTACTGTCCAAGACGCTATCTGATGGGCAGCTTTCATACAAATATGGAAAATGTTTTCATATTCCCACAAACTTTATTGCAAGAACATTGTTTTGGCTCCAGTGCGCCCACGGTTCAGAGATGGAAATGCTTAACCACTTTCTGTTATTCTACTTGGGTTTTTTTTTGTTGCAACCAGGGTGGAATATAAGCAAGAAAACATTTTCAAAGTCCCTTAGTGTGATCCAACAGATGTAAAGGTGAATGGGCCTGAAGGTGGAGTTTTATTTGGCGACTGTTCGCTGTTTACGAGACTTGGGTTCTGGTGCGAACTCGGACACGGTGGGTGGACGTGACAGAGAAGGTGCGAATAGGAATGTTGTGCTGTGCGACCTTAGTGCAGCGTGACCCTGGCTCCATTGGCGTGAGCACAGATACAAAAACAACAGAAAACAAACACCTACAGGCGAGGCTGATAATGAATGGTGAGAGATGGGGCTTGAATGTTCAATGTTGTTTAAACAAATTGACCAAAGTATATTTTATTTTTATTATTTAGTTTGTTCGTTTAAAATGTTTCAAGGTAGTTGATCGGCAGGTCGCGTACGGTAGAGTAAAGTGCGAGTTTGCCTACCTCTTTCAAGGCAGCATTGAAGAGTAGGCCTAAATTATCCTCTATAGGAGCCCTATAGAACTCTCTCACGTGGAGGCCTTCCATCAGCAGTGGCATGAACAAGTCATTGCCCTGGCTGCTCCTTAATAATAATTCACATTTATTTCCAAGGCACCTTCCATTTATCTCTCAAGGAACTTTGTTAGAATAAGGATAAGGAAAGGCCAAGAGAGACAGAGAAGCTAAATAGAATAAACTGACTTAATGAGACGTGTTTTAAGACGAGACTTAAAAGCATCCTTTAACAATCCCAGTCGGAAAACTTGCGTGAGATTACATTTTTTGTTTACAGGTGTCCTGAAGTATATGGCTAAGCAGAATGAGCATTTTTTAGTACTCGTACACTCGTACAAATTTCACGGAAATAATAAACATAGCATAAATAAGCTTCTGAGTTTGGAATGCCCTCTTGACAAACTTAAAATATCCTTCCGCAATGACACTGCTTCAAGAGAAAATCAGCACGGTGGAATGTGGACAGTAAAAGTGTCTACCACCAACTGTTGTTAAGCAGTGGCGCAGTGCTTAGCGCACAGCACACTATGTACCCGGCCACCTGAGTTATTAAATACTAACATTCATCATCTTCTTTCACCTTCTTCAACTGGACTGTAATCGTTCCTCATCAGGTTAAAATGAATGCCTCTGCTTTGAAGTGATACTTCCATTTTAAATGTTACAAATCGTAATATTTAGGCGGCCAGTTGCACAACGATAATAAGTGCTTTGTTCCATATATTTTTTCTGCAACTTGACTTTGTTGTTTGATGCATGTGTTCCTGTCTGTCAGTGTAAATCCAGGCCTACGCTCTTCTTTGTGCACATCTCTGCTTTTGTTACATTTTCTTTATCAAGGACCTTGGTTCCAATCCATATAATAAACAAATTATGTAATCAACACCGATTAAAATGTAATAAAATTATACTATCACTGCCCGCGTATTTACACGAGATACATGGCCAGGGTGGAGGGCTGGCTGGGGCGACGTCAGCTTGACGCACGAACCCGGCTCACCGCGCACATCTGCGGGGTAACGTTACCACGGCGCAATTGTCTGCCCGGCATGCCAGCCAGCAAAACTTAAAACAAATATAGTATGACAAATATTACTTAGGAGTCTTAATTCGAGTCTACATACATCTTATAGAAACACGTGAAAATCGTGAGGCCTCACATTATACTGTTTGCATTGAACAGGGCCCAGTTTAAATGGTGTGCTCTTGCGAATGGTAACAAAGCAGCATTTATTTAACAGAACTGACTGCTGATGAGAACCAGAAGGCCAAAACGGGTAAAGTGTTGGCTTGCTTAAACAAATGCTGCTGCATGATAATGGATGGACTAAAACATTTTACGTGGAAACTCAGAACGAACCTCTGCATATATATACTTTGAAGGCTATGCTCTGAATCATACATACATGGAATGTATGTTTGTTGAATTTATTTCGCATCGTACGTAACCAACTGTGCGAATGGGAGTGGCGGCGAGATGCAAGGCGACGTGGGTTCTACTTTGACGTGCGATTACATCACAGTTGTCAACAATATCACGGGCCCAAGTTGGACCTACAATCGAAGAGCGTGAGATATCGCCGCATCCTTGAAGTGTACCAAACGGCTTTTACAGAGAGACACTTTGTTGGCTGGTGGTTTGGTTAGTTTTTTTTACTTTTACACAGGTGCAGCACACATTTAAGATATTAACGATGAAAGGAGCGTTCTAAGTGAACGAGCATTGGGACATTCACGCAGCCTTGCCCTTTCAAGTCGTATATCCAATTTGGGCTCAGTTTGTTGACAACTGTGACGCGTGTGCGTTAACGCAACATCGCAGAGCGTCCCTATGTTTCACAACTATAAAAAAAGACAATTCTCTAACGGTCAACTTCCTCCGTTAACTCGCTAGTGCCTGCAAGTTAAGATACGGCTTACCCGCTAAACGTGATATTTTTTTTATATATAATAAATTGTATACACAGTGCGAGTGTATTTATAAATGTTGATTGAATTTTAAATGCACGTTAAATATGCTTCATATTCTGCGTCACCTTCATTCCAGCTTTGAGATCAGAAAACCGGAGATGCCATCAAACTCATTACGAAAAATTACAGCAGTCGCTGGGAAACTGCGTGTGCACAGTGTTTATTAAAAATATTAATATAACAACAACTTCAAAGCAAGAATTTTTGGCATTTCAACCTTTTTTTTCTTCCCGTTTTTAATATCTGATTGTACAATGCCCAATTTCAGCTGTTATGTGTTGAACGTAGCAATTATTTTGTACCAACAGTCAGTTCCATCAATTAGGACTTGTTTATGAATTTGGCATTCACCTTTATCTTTTATTTTTGCCATTCCCCCCCCTCCCAAACTAACAGTAAACACATGTATTTACACCGGAGGTAGCAAAAGCACCAGAGGCACCGTAAACCTGTCTCAGCGCAAGGCAGCGTCGAGGGAATAACAGATGCGGTTTTATCTGGAGCTATTGTTTGTTCAAGTGAATTAATTTCCTTCCAGCCTGTCTGTATCGAGTTATCAGACAAGAGTGTCTCATACGAGGCCTCCTGTTTTTAATTTCACTGCGCGGCGCCCGCCACGCACATCTTTTCATTGGTTTCTGTTCAGGCCTCATCTCAGACATCTTAGAATACCCGGGCCTGTTTTACCTGTCAAATATATCTGTCCGAACACATTCCGCATTGCACAATACCTCAAGGGAATTTAAATTTCCACGCACATCCGCCGTACCGCGCATGCAGGAACTATGAAGTCACGTAACACTTACGTTTAGCTGTACAGTCACCTAAACATGGATTTTTTTTTGTATAATCTCCCACCCCCAGGTAACTATTTTAACTGGAGTCAGAAACTGGAAGGGATCTGTGCTATCAAAGTCACTTTGACCAAATGAGTGCATACGCACCCAGGGTTGTGCCAATTACTGTGCCAATTACTGTGGCAATCAGGAAAAGCGTGGCATCTCCCTCTGCACGTACACCCCGTGACACGGCACCTTTCTTGGCAGTAAGCAACATCTAAAGACTCACAAGCGAGCTCCGATGAAATGTTTAAACCGGAGGATTGGGCTCGTAAATAAATAAGCAGATATGCGCAAGAAATAATTAAAGGACTGCTGCCATTAGCTCAACTGCAATGATAATATTTTTTACGGATTAATACATTTAAAAGAAGCAGTAAGGCAATGAGACTTCAGGCTTACCGAGTTATTAGGCACATCCATAATGAGCTGGATGCTCCAAATATAGATTCCCACATCTCACAAACATAACACCACGAAGCAGCGATACCAATCACCGCGATGTGCCTCAGGCGATTAGATAACACATTTGTAACTTCTGCAGAACAAGCCTCTTGGTCTGCTAAGAATCTCTAAAAGGAACGCTGGTGTTTGGTTAAGGGATAATCTATGGGTTCAGGGGTGAAATGCAATCCTAACCATAGCCACATCGCCAGTTAATCTTTTTCATAATTCAGAGATGTTTCACGATATGATTGATATACATTTTCACAACATAATATACATAAAAATGCCCCCCACACCAGTTTCAAAATATTTTGGAATCATATTTTGTATTTTTTATTGTTTTTATGTGAAGCTATATTTCCAAGAAAAGTTTTTTTTAGTTTTTAAAATATAGATCTACTATACTATAGATCATGTGGCATGAGTCTTTTATAAGTTTTATAAACAATTGCAACTTTACAATCTATAATACTTATAATGCTGCCAGTTCCATAAAAAAAATATCGAACTAAACACGACAGTCCAGGCTTACTTTGTTACTTTGACTCGCGAGGCGTGAAAACGAGTCTGTTTAATGGGCAGTATAGGTATTTTCGGTTATCGTGTTTGCTTTTTCACTCAAATTTGTCGAGAAGTAAAGACACTGAAGCGATATGAAGACGATATTTTGCACAACGGAACGATCATCGTGGACCCCCGTGTCGTACGACAAATTTTCGTATCGCGGCGAATCCTGCAAACCAGCGGCACCGACAGGCCCCCCTTTGCAGTAGCGCGACTCCATCGTAACAACTTGAATCATTCCGGGGGGGGGGGGGGGGGGGGTTCCGCGCGGGTATGGCAACAATTTACAATGATAGCGATGCGAGAGCAACACGGCGATGGGAACAAATGAACAGGCCTTTTCGGGTTGAAAAGGACTCCAAAATAAACACGCTCATTTTTTTCTTCTTACGGAAAAAGCCATGCAAGTGATTTATGAAACAAGCTTCAGCGTATGGTTTGGATGAAAAAAAAATCAGCTTCAGAGTTGGTATCGCAACAATCAAGGCCTGGCATTAGGTAAGTCAGCTACGATTTCTTAGTCACGCACCGCACGCTGCACAACGGAAAAACGTGACTCGCGCAAATTCGCTGATGGCACAGAACAAGCGCATTTTGTTTCTGTTACTGACGTTATTGCACCAGAATGTTATAGCAGGCTGCTACAACTGCATTGTGGTAAATTCTACCATGGGTTATATCATCATAATAATGATGATAAAGGTGTTAAATACCACTTTCATGAAGGAAGCCCGTCAGGAAAAATGTCGAGACTTTTCTTTCCTTGCAGTGACAATAAAAGACAAATCTGTTATTATTTGTTTAACCGGCCATTTTAAAGTGAAAGTTTAAGTAGCAACTTGATAATTTGTAGTAAATTAACGCGTGAGTGTGTGTATATAGTTTAGGTGTGGAGTGGTGCCGCAGTGGTTAGCCCTACGCATGATGAACCTGACAGCTTTGACTCTGGGCCATTGCTAATAATCAACAGCAAGTGAAATGTGAACTGGTCCTGAGGAGAAAGCATTTTCTGACTAATCCCACACTGACCAGCATGGTGAAGTACAATCAAATAAAACAAACTCCATGGCTGACATTCGCATGGAGGAGAGGCCTTAATCCGCCAGTGGATTTGCAAAATCAACCGTACATTCATTATGACGATAAAATAGCAACGTAAAAAAATGTTGCGTAAGCCTAAATTGCGTTAAGCGTTCTGCGAGAGAAAACGCTGTCGTGAGCTAAGAGTGGAACTGGTTTTCCGGAGGTGCTTCTCGCATGTAATTGCCATGTCTGGAATGCAGTGCAGCTGGGAACATATGTAGGCGTTTTTGTGTTAAACGGGATTTTTTGTTTTGTTACAAGGGGCTCTCTAGTACCAGCTCAAAAACAGTTGTACGCTTTACAATTGCAAAATTTAATTGGCCTGCTAAGAAGTAAAAAAAAAAGTACACACACACCATTTATTTATTGGACTTTCTTTCTGGCGTAACGACCACAAGATGTTAATTGAGGCCAGAACACGTCGCTTGTAATGTCCGACTATTATGTTCAGACATGAGAACCAGAGGTTTGGCCGAGCTGCTCAACCAACGGGTCACTGCCTACGGCTTATGTAGCTTTGATGGACTCGTATTTGAGCAGGAAAAGTGAGGAGGGTGTTGGTGATGGTGGTGGGGAAAAGGTGCGGTAGGGCTGGGGGAGGTGGGGGCGGAAGGAGCAGGGGGAGCGACAGGGTTGAGAGGGGTGAGAGGGTGAACTTGTGCATGTGTTTCGTACACCCGGCTCTGAAATGCCACATGTGAAATATTTAGGTCTTCTCCTAAGGTTGACTTCATCCGCATTGTTTTAAACGCTGCGAGGTTCTGCGTTCGCTTACCACCCCCCTCCCCTCTCTGCGCCCATGGTGAGCGTTAAGCGCACGTGAGGCACTGCCCTTTTGAGTCTATCCTGGCGATGAATGGGGATGGGGACTCGCGAACAGAGCAGAGCGGGCGTGTGTGGCCCTGCAGGCTTTCCCGTCTCAATTACTCCAATGCAGGGTGACCTCACAATTGTCGCACTGAGCCTCTCTCGAGCCAAGAGCCCCTTGAATGGCCTTTGGCAATCTTCTTTTCTCTCAATTAATAACCTCCCAGAGGCTCTGCCATTTCCATAACCTTTCAAGTGGGAGCTTTGATGTGAAATGATTTGCCAAGAGCCACCCGCAAACTCGGCCTAAAATGGGCTCTCTCTCCTCTGTCATACGCCCGAGCCAGAGTTCACATATTGCACTGAAACAAAGTCATCGGAGCGTTGATCTCAAGGATTAAAAAACAGCATATTCAATAAGCACGCACACTTATATTTAAATTCTGCACTTTGGCGTGTGACTTACAATGTTCAACTTCAAAGGAATATGTAAGTACGATAAAAACTTAGGACAACAAGTTGACCGATCAATCAAAGAGCAGTGAAAAGCAAAGACTGTTACACTCCGCAAAAGCCTTTTTACACCCGTGTGCTCTTAAGCGATCAGTCCTGCGAACACGGAGCGATTAAAATGCCGATATTGTGACAACTGGTCAAAAACACATGAAATTTAAGACCACATTTCAATCCCATACATTCCTAAAGGGCAGCTTTGGCAGCGCAGATGGCTCGTGAGATATGTTACTACTTTGCTTTCCAACTCCTGTGTTTGGTGCAGATACAGCACAGAAAGTCAGATTGGGCTTTTGGTATTCAGAACTCAGACTTGCGTTAATCATTGAGTTATCTTGAAAAAAAAACGTCCACAATTTATACCCAAGCAGATAACTGTCAAAAAAAATGTGGCGATTTGATTTGGATTGTCGCAAAATGACTCAATGAAAAACTTCTGATGTAATTATCGCCAAAATAACTGAAAGGTCTACGGTTTACAAAGTCATTAGCAGGTTTATTTAAGATGTGATAGAAACGAGAGGAAATACATGTTTGTGTTCATTGGACACAATTTTCCTGATGGATGCCAAAAGCTGCTTTACGTTTTACGCCGATAGGTGGAAAAATATTTGTGTTTGTACTGCTTTTATACCTGCACGCAGAAAAATTTTGACTATAAAACTAGAGCAACAAAGCACACATATGCATCAGTTAACACAAGAACTAAGAGACAGTGTTTACATTTACGCATGCCACAAAGCAGCTTTGAAATAGGATGAAAAAAACGAGTACTTTAAAATGTTACGCGAGAAAGTGATCCGTTAATGTGTTTTTTAATAGAGAGAAAAAAAAACCAAGGACATGATACTTTCAAGATATATATGTGCGCACACAATATTTGAAGTATATATTGAGTGTAAAAATGGTTTGAGAATGAGTTATTGGAAGCGCGGAGTCACATTTATCACTTAGTAATAAATATAATAGTACATTTCAGCTCTTTATCAAGCCACTGCTGGATGAGGGCCTCCCGTGCCGTGTCAGTCATTGAGGTTGTTTTGGCCATGCTTCACCAGACTGGTCAGTGTGGTTTTGTGTTGGTGAAGGGCAAGGGTGGGGTGGGGGGCAGAGCATGTTAAATATCACTCGCCACTAATATTAGCCATGGCCGCCAATCAAACTCGGGTTCGCTGGGCATGTCGCACAATGTGTTGATCCACCGTGGCCGTATTTCTACACCGTATTGATTTGCTACGATCGATTCACTTGCACCGAATCCTAAAATCTGTGTAACATATACCATTATGTACGTTATGAGGGCATACAGATAAGACTGCAGCTTGGCATGGATTTTTATCTTATTTTTGCACATCATTATGAAAAATGTTATTTTACAAATGTTGCATATGTATGAGGTGTATATAGAACCCCCATACGCACCATGGAAAATAGAAAGTCCTTGATTGGAGAGTGAAGCCATTCATGTAATAGAAGACACTACGGTTTTGCCGTAATGGTCATATTTCTCCTTCAAATAATGTAAAAAAAAAAATTGTAGGTTATATTGTGAACCCAAGCAGCAAGCATAATATTGGAGGAAAAATTATATTGACAAAGTAATTACTTGAACATTTATTTAAAAAATAAGTTAAGCAATTCTGTTGTTTTGAACAAGGGTAAAGTCCTACATTCGGGCAACATTCACAAAAGACATCCATTGGTATGGTTTAATTTATATTGCTATTGGAGCTTTTTTTTTACTCCAACACAAAGTACTGGGATTTCATTTCTTTTTGTTTTACGGTGCGACAATTTCCAAAAGAAATACATAAAAACCACCCCCCTTTGCTTAATCACTGACTTGAAAACCTTATGGGCCCGTCTAGACAATGCATTCCTTGGCACACGTTGGGCAAATGTGCATCTCGATGCATACCGCTGGCTCTTCCAAAGACCGTCCATCACCGCTAAGATTGCCCCGCCATAAAAACATCACGACTCGTTAATTTTATTTTTCCCGGACCGTTTCCCTACGCAGTGTTGCTCTTTCGCACCGATACCCTGCGCCGTGAGATGGGCGATGTCGTTTTAGCACGTGACGTGGCCGGTCGCACACGCGGGTCTCCCCCCGGTTTGAGAAGCCACCTTCCACGGTGCCAGCAGACCTCGGCGATTTTTCTGTTGCCGAGGTTTAACAAGCGCCGCGACACTAAAATAGCAGGGGGAACCCAATCCTAATCCTCGCCGCAGCAAACGCTCTAATCCTTCTGGCATCACATTGGAAATGGTCAAGCATACCGGGTGGCTCGACACACCCATTCTTGCAATCGGCACACGCTGGTCCTTTGAAAAGGCAGAGGGCCGTTGTAAAATGAGACCGAATCCACTCGTATCACGTCATGTGGTCTTCACGGCGCATCGCCAGGTACGAAATGCTTCCTTCGATTTGATAAAAAAAAATGCATTGCATCGACCTCACGCACTTTCCTGATTTTCCTAATAATTACAGATGCGGTCCCACTTTACACGAGGGTCTTATATTGTTGCGTAACTCGTGTTATGCTTTGAAATATAATAAGTCGGCATATCATCCTCGTTTTGGCGAATTTTAAGATCGTTACCAGATATTACAAGGGGTGAGACTGTTTTTCATTCAACACCTTTTCTTTTAAATCCATCGACAATGACCGGATCCCCTTCGATGTGGATTTCACTCAATCGTGAACTTTGCTCCATACAGAGTTCCATTATGTCCCCGAGTACACCCAGGAAATAACTTTATTTTACTGAAATGAATGAAAACCCTTTGTAAATGTGCCACACTCATTATACCAGCACTGATTGGGTACTGCCCCAATGCTTCAAAGGGTATGGAGGTTAGGGGCCCAAAGCTGAGAACCACAAATCTAAGTTTGCAGTTGGCCCAGCGCCAATACATCCCTTAACTGGAATGTGCGAAACCCATTATGAGAATTTATTAAAATGGTGAAAACTAAACTTAACCAGAATTTCCGATTCCAGTAATGTAGCGACAATAGCTATGATCAGATAAGAAAGGCCATCAAGCCCAGAGGGACGTGCTTTCTTTTTTTATTCCCACGTGTGTTTACTGAATGCCCTTCACGGCATTGGCCATGTACTTCTGTTTACAAGAAAGAAAGAACGAAAAAAGAGAAATAGCATTGGGTCAATGGAGATGAAGTCTCATCTTATACACAACACATAGCGTCCTAATTTTTGTGGCATTTCCAACATCCTGTGTCGAAAGCGCACAACATCAATTAAGTGCCTATTCAAAAATGGTAGCTGACATCAGCGATGTTTTTCAGTAATTAAAAGTGAGTCAGGAAATGAATTATTTCAAAACACGAGCAATACAAATTTAGAGGGCTTTTTTTCCTGTCTCGCAACCACTCTCTTCACGTTATGTTGTGTCTCGGTAAAAATGACGAGCGTTTTTTTTTTCTAGACAAGTAACCCCTGGCTCTGACGGAGCGACAAGCCCAAGGTGAAGGCATTACCCCCACAGTCAGGCACGCTGACAAGAAACAGGCCTTCATATGGCTTCATTTTACAACGTCAATGTTTATTTTAAAAACTTTAAGTCCCACGGTGGACGCTGCATTTGCAGGTAAGCGGCACTTGTGGGCTGCCCATCATCTCTTAACTCGTACCGTTTATGGGCCCACGCACGCCTTCCCCTCCTGGAATTGTGGCCGACTTAAAACTTCACGGGACATTGTTTAAAGCTTTGGCATTTCTTTCATAAGTTGCAACAAGATGAGGCTTTTCTTTTTCTTTCTTCCATCCACGATAGTATTATCATTCCTTTATTTATTGCACATTCCATTCTGTTATTGACAGTGACTAATGTAAACTTAGAAAAAATGAAGCTCCATCCAACGCACAACATGAATATAAAGCACACATATCTGAATTGTTTTTTTTAAATCTCAACATAGCATAGCTCCGCAAGACCGCATACAGGCATGTTTAAAAGAATAATGATTTTGATTTGTAGTGGAGAACGTCAAAATGCAGGGCAGGTGGGTTCATGGGACCATACAGACAACACAATGGTTTTGCCAGCATGGGACTCAGTGGGAAATCAGACTACACACCAATGCCTAGTATCCTCCCTTAAACGAAGGCCACACTTTCCTCACTGTGTCCCGTGACACGTAGGAAAGTGTGACGTCCTCCTCCAAGCATGACGAGCAAGTAGAGAGTGTTCGTGAGCACGGGCGGTGGGTGGGAGGGGGGGGCCTTGGGAGGCCAACGTCGCAATAAGTACACGAGCAACGTGAAAGAAGCGTGACGGACAACACGGTCACAATGGCTGGGGGGGGGGGCAAAAGAGAGACAGAGTAGGAAAAGTGACACATAGAACAGGACCCCACACCGACATGCAGCAATCAGTGTTTCCTGCAGGAACAGCCCGGGCCGATGTGGAGTCGTTGGCCGAAATCCCCCCCGCACCATTAACTCGACCACCCGCTGCCCGGTGCAGTGCACGTCAAAGTACTTGAGAATAACCACACCTCCACCCCGTTTGGCAGCCCTTCACTGCAGGAAACACGGTGTTTTATCATTACCACCACCGCCACCGTCACCAGCACCGCCACCAGAAGTGACATGGACACGACACGACATGAATATGACCAACAAAGTCCGATTTCTCACCCCTCTGAACACAAAAATGGGCACTTTGGCTCCTTGTGTTAGCAGCTATGCCCAAATGCCCTCCTCGTCATCCTAAAGGCGTCCGAGAAAGCAGCATGGAAATACAAACGACAAGACCACAGAGTTAGGAGGAAACAGACATCGGTCAATAAACAATATTTACACGCGAACCCACAACTGGGAGAAAAAAAATCACTCTTGGTGAAAAGAAAGGGATTGATGTTTTCGATCGAATTTACCAAGACCATGTGTGTGTGTGTGTGTATACTGTACAGGGTGTCCATAAAGAAAGGCATCATCCATTAGTAAATTATTATAATTAGATGGCAGCTTGAACCGAGTGGTTGAAATGTTTACGTCAACATAACTGTGACGGACACCGCCTTACAAGGGAAAACATACAATCGGGGGCATGTTGAGCGATGGCCCGTCTCTCTTCCTTGCACGCCCAAAGGAACGAGAGAAGCAACGGCGGCAGCAGAAATGTTGGCCAACACCTCCTGTGTGTTGCCACGAGCCGCGTCGCCAGCACTGCGGTGGGAAAGCTCGGCAATGACGCAGTCCAGCGGTATATATAGCCCTACTTCGCCGCAGAGGTTCATGGTTTCGAATCCAGCCGCCACCCAGGATTCGAATCCAGCAGCCTGGTTATTACTGCAAAGATTAATAGCCATAATAATAATAATAATGCAGTGATTCGATCACAACCAGAAATACTCACTCGGTGTTATGGATGCGGCGTGTATAACATGGACAGTCAGGGAGTAAAACATGCCCCCTCTGATTGGTACTTAACGGGCTTCAAAAAGGGATTGGTTAGAGGCAGGAAATTGAAGGGATTGGAGGAGAAATACGAATGCAAAGAGCGTGAACGGAGGATGATTGACAGGGTGAATGGTTGGAATCCGTTATGGAAAGTGGAAGGTGATTGGCTGGAGGGAAAGCAGGCCAAGGAACCTTCGGGAAAGGGGCTTGAGGGATATATAAAGAGGAAGCAAGATAGTTCGGGATACGTGGAGCGAAGGGAATCCTTTAAGACTGTGTCTCGTGCTAGAAGAAATAAAGATTCCTACTGTTGCAGACAATTGTGTCGGGTGTTACTACAATAATACGTGCTGTCTGCTTCACATCGGACGTTAAAGACCCGAGTGACGTAATTCACAAGAGCAGGTCATCGTGTGCTGGCGTCAAGGTCCAAATTTGGCACGTTGTAAAATTACACCGCAAATTACTCAATTGGAATTAAACGCCCCCCCCCCTCCACCAATGCCCCAGACCACTCTTGCAAATTAAACTATCCTGGTCTCTTGAGTTCTACATATGGTTAAACAAAAATACACTTGAACTTGCGGAGGTACATATCGATAAAATAGTCACGCAATAACATCTTTATATTTGCAAATGTGGATGAGTGTGGGTGCGTGCATATTTCATTGACCAAGGTCAAAATGCTGCCTAATTATGATTTAATAATGGATGATTATAGACACCATGTATTTATGTTTGGCGAAACATCAATTAATTTCTTTCCACACAGCAATAGTTGTTTTTTATTGACCAATACATATGTACCGAGACATATGCACACGTACTTAGCAAAGTGGTGCTTGTCAGTGCGCTTGCATGGACGTGATATAGATCACAAAATCACGTCGGAACAATGTTAAACCAACTGGACACCGTTACACGTTACTGAAAATCAAGGCCAGCCTTTGAAAAGTCCCATTGACCATCACAAGCAGTACATGTTCACGCCATAGAAACAGACTTCACAATGCATGGCACCTCCATTCTGTGACGCAGTGCAGTTGCAATTGTTGATTTAGTGCGCTTAATTTATGTTGAAATATATTTTTTTTTAAACCCAAATCAATGTGTTGGCTTCAAAACATAAAAAAACACGTTACATTAAAAATTCTGACAGATAAAGTGTAATTTTGATATGTTATATGTATTTGGTACAATACCAGTGTTTGATTCTATCAAAATATACAAAGCACTGCAATTATGGCAACCTGCGTAAAAATGAATGCAATGTATAATAATAATAATACTGATAATTATGGCTCCCAGACAGGATTTTGGAATGAAACACCACCATGAAATTGAGAAAATCGGTATCCTGTGCACCCAGGTCAAATCACAAGGATTCCCCCAGTGTCAAGAAAGCCACACATTGTCTTAAAGGCATTGTCAACATCATTGCAGAAAAAAATATATACAACGACTCATTATGACACTGCTCCTCATTAGAACATAAAACACCGTCCCTCATGCTACGACACTACAAAGCATGTTCCCACGTCACCGAATGCAATTTTTTTGTTTACCATGGGGGAAGAAAAAAATAAATCATTGCCATGTACAAATATTCCCCATTATAGCACAAACATCCATGAGGGTCATGTGGAGTGGGAATGTGATAGCTTGAGCAGTCGGACACAGATACCCACGTGAATAAACAGCCAGCGCCTGGCACAACAGCACACTGGGCTACATTGTCGCCCCGTCCTACCCTATCCCACAGCTCGCCTCATCTCCACGAGCTCACGTACGAGTATCGTTTGGCCTCTTCGGCCCAAACACCTTTCACCCGTTGTGAATCCCACATTGCTCGAAAATGTTGACTTGAGTGGGGTGGGGTGGGGGGAGGAAACACCGCCAAAAGAATTAACCACAGAGTTCTCATCCCTCCCCCAAGGAAAATATGCCAGTGTGCCGAGATGTGCCAGGACATCCTGCTGCAGATCACCTGCATATTCGTGGGTCCCACAAATACCTAGCGCCCCACCCTGTCCACTGTGTAATGGGGCATGAAGGCAGCAGCGGCGCAGAGCGTGGAGTAGCTACAGCATGGATAGCCCCCACGATGAGTCTACGGCAGGGAGCGCACACTTACCTCGTCCGTGTCGGTTAAAAACGAAACGCTCTTTGTCTTATGGGAGGATTTTATAGCCTAAACCCCAACACATAATTTTGCGGTGTTAACAAGTGTATAAGCACCTACTCAATGAGCCCTTGAAAGCACATCAATTTGAAATCCATCACGCTATATAAATTCAAAAACAGCCACGCACATATGCAGTGCGCGCTTCCCATGCAACCTCTATAAACTCCATTACAACTGAACGGAGTGCAATTGTGGAATTTACTGCAAAGCGTACTGCATTCGTGAAGAGCATCGTGCCACAACATGGATTGCTAAACATAATTTCAAAACCCCAAAAATTATTGAATTGTTCCCGGAAAGCCAATAATGCAATCTGTGCATATTTTACTTCATTGGTGCTGTCCATTTCTGCGTTGGTCTCGGTTACAAACACATCTTTGAACCCCTTATTTATCAATTAGAAACGTTCATGACTTGTGCTAAGCTATGATCAAATACCATGAAGGCAGGTAACACATCTTGTTTGCATGCGACTGATACGACAGCATGTAGACATCTCTGCTATCAGAGATGTCTGAATACAAGCAGGCGATTGAGTTATACTCGTGTGAGAGCAATCTGGTTTTGCAATGGAATGCTCCCGTGTGGATGCACATACATACGCAGTGTACATTTGCTGCATAGGTTATCGATTGAAAATGAATTTCATGCAATTAATTTGTGGATTTGAGAAAGATATATTTTTCAAATTATTTTGGTTGTCATTTTTACCGTGTATTAATGTAATCGCTCGCGATAAGTAACTTGTTGTCTTAATCGCGAGTTCACGAGTATCATGTTTGGTCTCATCACGGCCGTTAAAACAGTAACAGTGAGATATGGCTGGGTGGCTCAGGAACTATGTAAATGAGTTGGCACTGATTAGATCCTGGTTTCAAATCCAGGTAGTCACCCGTGATTAAACTGCGGTTTCAAGTGTTAGCAAGTGAATGGTCTCAGCCCAATCACCAATGACACAAAACAAATATCACTAACAGTTTGCTTATTCCAGCAATAAGACTTTAAAAAAATACGGATCAAGCGACATTATGGCTTGATTAATACAATCTTTGCAGGGCCTATGTATATATAAATATACATTTGCTTCTAGCATTCTTTAAAAGACGTCTGTTTATGAAGAAGTGCTGTGGCGTCATTTTCCGAGGCAATTCTCTGACACGGGGTGAATGCTCTGCTGACTGAACATATCCTCACGTACGATCCTGCAGCTTACGACATGCCACGAAGGGCAACATGCAAATATGACTGGAAGAACAACTAGAAGCAACATCAGAGACGAGGCGGCACATGCCAAGGAGGCCCAGTATAAAATGTCAACATGGCTTACCTGGTCCGGGGAGGGCCTGTGGTTGGTGTTTTGAGATTTCCCTGGGTGGTGGTGCCGATGGTAATGGTGGTCGTCTTCATAGTTATCTGCCATGAGCTTCATTCTGTTCTGAGTCTGAAATCAGACAAGCCACAATGCAACGTGTGTTGCATACAGATGAATTCTTCTTACAGCCCCACCATCAGAAAAATAAATACAATACTGTGGAAACCATTTTCACAAACATTATTTTTTTGTATGTTTAATAAAAAAAAACATTTTCTCAAACGAAAATAAAAGCATTGCTTTCATCTGTGTGATATGGTTTCATAATTTAGCAATATTTTAGAGTGAGCTAAACCCTTCCACAAAATTGATGGCGAGTAATCATTAAAATTGCAACTTGACATTTTTTTATGTTGACAATAATTTTGGAAAATTATATAGATTGTTATATAAATAGTATTTTTCTGAGCGATTACTTTTATGGACACATTATGCTAACAAATTAATGTTTATCAGTGCTTATACGTTAAAAGATATTACAAAAGACATTATTTCAGCATGGCTGAATTTAAGCATATGCGAAAAATAATTTTCAGGAGCAAAATGGAAAGATACAAAAAAAATCGAAATATAATTCTGCATAATTTTGAATGCCTTGTGATTAATTTATAATCATAAAAAAATCAACAATAGAGCTTATGATTGTTTACAATAGGGCGTATCATGCAAATCTTTTTACATATTTGTTTCACAAAAAAACCTTTCCAGGTATATATAAACATTACTGTGCACAGCCTTTGCATGATACAGCCCTGCAAGCATAACAGATTTATTTGCCTTTTAATGAAGCAATATTTGATAAATCGTTTAAGCAGCAAAAAGATCAAACTGTCTTCCTCCACAATCGTCATCATGATCATCTGCCGCTCGTGTCAAATTTGGCACCAATTATTTAGCAAATAAAAAAATCGCAATTGACATTAAACAATGGTTTTGTCAACTCGCTGTTGGCAATTTCATTGTTGGCCTCATTCTTCATTTTTTTTCTCCCTTTTACCATCTGGTACATGGCATCTGCCAAAAGACATTCAAACAGCAAGGCCCCCTCCTCCATCTGCAATGGTGACAAATAAAGACCGACATTCACAAGAAGCCTCTGTTCAAACAGTTTCCCTGCAAAACAACCGCGTTAATATTAATTTGCTTTCCGCATTTGTTTGCCAATAAAATAATGCGAGTGACTTACTCAAAACTTTTTTGAAACAGCCTCAGCAATCGCACCCCCTCCAGAAACCAAAGTTGGTATTTTAGCAAAATTTACCAGAGGATTACATCGGATGTGCGTTTATTAAAACAGAGCCCTATTTCAAATGCTATACGTGTCCTCTACATCCACCTCTGTCTGAAATGCGCTTCGGGGGAATAAAAGTCCCCTGGGGACTGTAGAAGGCTGACACGGGGAGGGTTGGAGAGATTCATCCTCCTCTGTCGCGTTATCTGTAGTGCTGTAGGGTCGTACGCTATTCTCTGAATGCATCCACTGTATCCCGAAGCCCTTTATTACTCAAGAATGCACGACAGCACATCCGACCGCCACAAAGCGGGCGCCCGGTGCTATTTCCATTGCTCCATTTATTTGCCCAGCATTCTTTGGAAGCAATGGTGGTTCCAGTAATTGTTATAGTGACAATAAGGGTAATGATAATGCTGCTAAATGACAGCAAACAACAGAAGCCTTGCAAGGGATACTGTTTGATAATAATACGAATGATACACATATATACCTATTAATGTAAACAAATGCGCACAAGAAATACAAGAGTCGCTCCAGCGTATGCCATTTGAAATAACACAATGGCACTAAATGTTTTGTAAATAAAATGTCCTCTACATTTTGGACGAGCTACCTGATGCATTTCTCTTCTTGTGTATGGCAGCGCTAAATAGCAATATCAAGGTCTGCCAGCCATGCCGGGGGCTTCTGGAGAGTTCGTGTAGTTTTTTTTTTAATTCATCTGTTGAAGGAGCACAGACTAGAGTGGTTTACCATATGGTCCATAGTTTGGGTTCCATGGCCACAATTGTACTCCTGTGGTTTGCCTTTAATTTCCCATCAATAAAGGAGATGTGCGCATTGGCCTGTTGATGTTCTTATGATGACTCCAGTGTCCTTAAAGAATGCTAACTTAAGGCCAACAAGCAGTGGAGAGCTGGCTGGAGTAAGTGGTCTGTTCGCTGGATCAGACAACCATGCATGAGCAGGTCATGCTATCGTAACCTCTCTGCGCTACCGTGAGAGGAACGTCTTGAAAAGTGACAACGAGCCAGCTGCTCAAGTACCCCGACCCAACTGTGACCACAGCTATGGCCATACACGCTACTACTGTTGCCGCGATATGGCAATGCCACGATACACCATACGATGTTAGATCCACGTTTACCGTTTTGCAAAACGTCACATCATCATTATGGTTGCTCATTTGATGTTTCTTAAATATGTTATTCCCTGATAAAATGTGGTAGAAATAACTAAACATACAAATACATAATTAATAGAGATAATATCAATTCAATTAGCGCTTTGCTAAATGTTTTCCAAAGCAAGAGTGATTGCGATAATGTTAGCATTATATTATTTAATTGTATTTGGGTGATTGACAGCATGTGCATTATAATTATTAGAGACTGTGATGATAAGAAATAATTAGGGCAGGCCTAGGTCGAGTGAACTGCAGTTGAAGAACTTCGAAGTCATCTTTATCCACACTGGAAGCACGGCAAAGCATTCAAAAACAATAAAAGCGCAAAACACGAATAACAAAGTCACGCTAAACTAATATCGCGTCGATGTTCATATCGTGATACTGTGGCAAGACCTGCGGGCTACACACGGACATTTAAACCGATCCGGGAATGCATGCGGCTTAAGTGAAAGTCGCACCGTGCTGGCGAGAGCAACAGCTTTACAGAAGAGACATTAAACGTGCTCAACATTCACAAATCGCGGTTGTTTAAAGTCTGGAATTATTCCAAAACACAGACCAACATTACATTAAGGTAAATTATAGGCTCCACAGATGTCTGCAGATCACGAGTTTACCTTGTATACACTAATTCCACACTTAATTAATTTAATTTATCTTCAGTTACATTTGCTGAAATAAGATATTAGTATTATGTTGAGAAACTAATTGCTTATTTTTAAAATTTGTGCAGTACACTAATCCTTGTATTTTTTGTAAGTGTACACACTAACCTGTGGCACATGGAGATTGTGTATACAACGTGAATAGTTATATAATGAAGTGGCCGCATACAAAGTCTGCCTTTATATACAAATGAGCAATACAATTATTAAACTATGTAGAGTTCGCAGAAAACTTTGGTCATAAACATCATCATCAGCAGCCATGTTCAATCGACTTCTGGATGAAACCCTCCACAAGCCACAACCATGTCCTACAATCATGCGATGTAATAATCCACGGAGCGTAACTGCACACGAACTGATTTAATTGCTCCAAAAACTGTTCAAGTCAGCGACAAAACCAATATAAAAAGGAAAGTGGACGAAACATCTACAAACCTATCCCTCCACCGTAATATTGCGAAGGGATCCTATCCTCTAAACTGTGGAACGTCTGGGCAGGTTTGAGAGGGATGTGATCGGGAGAACAGTCTGTCATGAAAGTGTGTTTGTGTGCATGCTAGGGAGTTGGTACAGTAGGGGGCACAGGTGGTGCATCGGCCAGTCATCTCAGTCAGTTGACTCATGGAACCTGGGTCTGCCCCGTGACCTCCTGCCGGCGGGCGTTTGACACTTCACGTGGCTTTAACGTGCACAAAGCCTGGCACAAGCGCCATGGTGACGTCACCGCCACTTAGTGGCGAATGGTGGTTGTTGTTGTTGCTAGGGAGTGGACAGTATTCACGCCAGGCGTTCTGAATTGAAGAATGCCATCTCGTCTTGAGTGGGATTCTTTGTTTTAAGCTGAAGAATGGCAATGCTCAGTGTCTGGGGAAATCAGGGCTAGGTAAGGAGGCTTGCATGGCTTTCCAGCCGCTTCTCGGTGAGATGCACACGTGAAAATGATTACTCACAATGCACACAAATTTTTGTTAGCGATGCTAAGTACTAAATTGTGCATTGCCCTGGTTTTATGCGAGTAACACAAGTGCAAATGAACATGAAGCGCAGCGGAAATAAATGAAGGGGAGGAAGGAGAAATAAAAATAAAGTAATAAAAACCCTTTGCATCAACACGAAAAAAAAAGGTAGCAAAACGAGACTGACCCCAATCACTTTCAACAACCTCCATAAAAAAGTTTAACTAAAATGAGCAGATGTTGCACGTGTTTTTGTGCCGAATTAAAAATGCTCTCATTGCAGCAGGAAATTCCAGCTCATTACGCTTACTTTGATGGGTGGATCGAGAGCAGCATTCGCTCACGAGCGATGTTTGCCCGAAAACATCTGGAAGCACCGTCTTGGGTATGGAGGGGGGTGTGTGCGGGCCCAGGGGTTTATTATTAAATGCCAGCAACCTAGGCTGAAATGCCTTCAATAAATTCTCTTGAAAAAAGAATGCGCGCACACACACACACACAGGGGTCTAAACAGTGTTGCCACTGAAATGAGCCCTCCGTGCCCATGTGTTGTTCTGTCGGCCTTCACTTTTAATGACTTCTGTGAGACGAATCGGGCACACGGGGGAGCAAGGGGGGGTAAGGGCAGTGTTATGGCCAGCAGAAGGGCGGCGTGGTGCGGGTGCGGTGGCTGGGTGGTCGGGAGCACCTGCTGCTTGAGCTGCTGCACGAGCCTGTCCTTTTCACGCTTGAGGGCCGCCACCTCGTCCTGGGTCTTCTTTTTCTTGGAGGCCGACAACTCAAGCAACGCAATGTTGGCGTCCTTCTCGCTGATGGCGGCCAGAAGGGCTTCTTGCCTGCGAGGCACATTCGCGGGGTGTGCGGATGGGGACACGCGGGGGAGAGAAGGCAGATTCGGGGGCCGGTGAGACGTAACAAAGGAAGAGAGACTTTTAAAAGGGAGCCGCGGGGGGTTTCGCACGGAGGCAGGGGTAAGGAAGGCGTAGCACAGGGGGTGACGTGGAGGGGGACCGGCAACAGAGACGTGGGGCAGAGTGAGATATGAGCGAGCGATAAGGAGGTAGGGAATGACTTTAGTCACCTGTCAGCAGTTCAACCAAATGCACAGCAAGTCCAAACAAGCCACTGAGCTAAGGCTCAAGTTCTGTGGCCTTGAAAAACCCCACTTCGCAACCTTTATTTAAATAATATCGCGAAAAAATGTGCAAGAATCCACTACTTGACCAATGTTTAAAGTTGGCGTAAACAACCACTACGGTACTGGGTTGTGCAGTAGTACGGCCTGACACCTTTGAGACATCATCGCTGACAGCTATTAACAAGTAGCTTTACAAAATACGTTCCCCGCTGGATCCAAAAAGATACATAAACACAGATTGGATGTCTTTACTCACAGTGGTAATGACTACACGGGTGCTACAACCTCCCTGCAAACACAGAACCCCGCAAAAGTTCACAAACCGCACTGCACAGGAAACTGGCTGCATTAAGACTTTTATAAACCCGCTTCCTTTCGGTGCAAACCGGGGTCAGATTTATACGCGCACGCGGCAAATGGCCATTCATCCGGACTTTCCCCGTCCGCTTGAAAGGCTTTGGGCCGCCAAGGCAGCTGTCCGTGTCGTAACTCACTGGGGGACGGGCACGCAGAAGGGGGTCTTCTGTGCGTGTAACATCAGGAGTTCAGCTAAGTGATAAAGCTCAGCGTGCGACCTTTAATGGGGAAGACCGCAACTATGAAACAGATACACCTCACATGGCGCGGCGGTGGGCTCCCGCTGCGCCAGTTACAGAGGGCCGATGTGAGAGCTTAGGGAGCGCAGTTGGAGGGTGGGGAAGGCAGGAGAGACCCCCCCGAAACTGTGCGGCGCAAAAGAAAAAAAATCCACAGGAGGAGAAAGAGCTCGCAGCCCGGTCGGTCCGTGTGGTATAGATCACGGGGCTCTTTTCAAGGTGTTAATCCTTCCGAGTCATGAAGCTTGGCCCCGCAAGTGAAGAGAGAATATGATAATGGCTACCTCTTTAAGTGCCCGGCTAAGAAGAAAAAGTCAACCAGAGTCAATTATTTATTTGTTTACTAATGTCTTCGTTTCAAGGACCGCACAAAGGAGAAGAACAAACAAATAAAAGCAGAAAAGCTTTAGGGGGGTACTTAAGCTTCACAATGCAGCAACATGACAAACTGTGAAAATATGAAGCTTTCCAGGGTAACCATTGGAGAGAGCCTTTTTATGTCATTGTAAATTTTTGGAAGGACCTCCCTCAGTGATTGGCAGAGAGCAGACAGATTTTTCAGATACGCGTGGTTCAGGTTGCCTGCTAAGTAAGCCTGTTTAACGTGCGCTCCTGCAGCATAATCCATTAAAATGTCCCAGCCATGCAATTTAATATTTGTTTGTTTGTGTATATTTATTTATTTGCGCAAATATGCTTACGAAGGTAAAGGTCAGCCCCATGCACAGAACCCACGGTGCACTATATTGAGATCTTTCTCGTTTAGCCAACTCATCCTTGCCCAAGTATCCACAATCCAATTGCCTGCGCACTTCCAAAGAGCCACTGTTTATACAAAGAGGACTGGCAGGAGTTGGGAGGATATTTACTGTAAGACCATAGCAGTGGCCGTCACTACTCACAGTCGTTGGGAGAGACACCCATCGCTGTATGTGAATGGAGAAGGAGAAATCCCCACAAATTTTAAATGTTCCCACTACGACTATATATCATACTTCATTTTTTACTAAAACAACCGAGTACCAATTGTACCATGGCCAATCTATAGTTGAATGAGTGTACATTTAATTTTAATATTTATTAAAAAAGAAAGTAGTTTGTGCTTAAATGTGGATGAGTATTTAAGGTTTTTACATTTCTTACGGGGCTGCCCAGGAGAGAGTAAACACATCAGCGATCATTCAAGGGAGAATGAAGCTAAGGCACCCATCATCTTTAAAATTAGTTACGTAATTTGTGATTTATTAAGGGCTGGCAAGCGACCATTGCTTTTAAATGATTGTAATGGGGAAAATGGGCTAAGTTTTTTACTATGGAACAGTAAAAACAAATCATTGTGATTTCATCTCATACTGGCACATATGTACAACTGCCAAGTGGAGTCATAATTTAATAGAAAATAACCAATATCACTTTGAAAAAGCAGACAATATTGACAAAGAAGTAAATGCAATAGGTAAAATGGCTTCAATGTGGCATGGCAATTTGTGGCCTGCTAGTCTCAGTGTTGCAGATATTTTAAAAAGTATTTGCTTTTGTAACCGATTATTCACAATTCGCTTTTAAAAAAATCCATGCACAGCCCAACACTATCAACTTAAAATATGTTAAGAAAGCAAGGAATCGTATTTTTAAATTGTAAAAAAAAAGCTTTTCACCAACCACTGAAACCAATCATATAAAAAAAATGCCTTCATGTGGTGACATGCTCTGCGCCATTTGACTTGTGACAGACTCTAACGCAGCATAACAGAAGCAGCAGCCTAAAGCAGCAGCGTCGCTAGCAATTAATGTAGCGTGGAGGGCCAAACCTCGCATTGCAAGAGCCTGTCCTCCTGAGGTGACCGGGCCATGAACCCCCCTCCACACACACACACATTTAAATTCAGCGAGATGATATGAAAATTAGAGGCAGACAATGGGGGGTCCCCTAATTGTGCTTTTTACTCTGGACTCTTAAAGGGCTTCTTTTTTCATTTGTGTTTACCAAACCATTATAGGGTTTGCTTGGCTAAATAAGCAGTGCTTATTAGCTTTGGGCCAGGAAAGAAAGGCAGGTCTATGCTATGCAATGAGGCCCATCAATTAATATGCATTTATTATAACTGTTGAAGGTATCATACCATGCAGTGACTTAATTTGCTTTTTCTAAAAAGAAGTCAGGCCACAATGTATATACGTAAATAGAAATGTGCTCTAACACACAACCATTATAGGTAGGGCTGGAACGATTAACCCTATCCCTGGTGATTTTACTTGAATGATCAAAATTCGAGGGTCGTAATTAAATTCAATAAAAAAATTTTACCCCGTGGTGAATGTAAGCACCGGTGTGGCTGTAGTTCTGACATGAACTCAATTTTTTATTGTATTATGTTCTATTTTTATTATTTTATTATTTCCCTTCTACGTGACTTTACCGAAAGAACCAAGAAGATGAATCCCTGCAGTCACGAAAGCTTTAAATCGAAATAAACTCAATAAATACGATGTATATGCATTGAAAAATATAAATTCTTGTACGTGCGATTTGGTGCATTACTGCAAGCTTAATAATCGATATTAATCGATGCAATGTTCCACCCCTAGTTGGTGGTACAAGAAAACAGAAAAAATAATGATGAATACCAAAAAACACAATTGGTGCAGAAAAATCCCAGCTAATCTTTCTGATATGCCTCATTATTGGAATTGGACAAACACCCCTCCTGAAAAGCATTATATCTTCATGACGCATTTAATAATTACAATAAAGCTATTTGTGACATGCACATTTTACGAAATAGACAATAATCATTTGAGGCACGGAGCAAGGACAAACACCCCTCCTGAAAAGCATTATATCTTCATGACGCATTTAATAATTACAATAAAGCTATTTGTGACATGCACATTTTACGAAATAGACAATAATCATTTGAGGCACGGAGCAAGGGCTAGCAGTGGGTTCCCCGTGTATGCCAGCCTGCACCAGTGTGGCAACATCCACTATGGATGCATGCATGACTCAATTAGCATAACCGCTATCGAAGCTAAAATCCCATGTCGCTTTGGATGGAGCCATAATACTGACATTCTAATGAATGACAGCAGGTGTCCCATGGTGATAGGCGAGTCATTCAATGCGCACTACGTTTCTTGGCTTGTCCTTCAAAAAAGGTGGACGCCCAGAGCTACACGTACACTACACCAGGCTGTATCCCATACCCAGGTTGAGATTATTAATAATGGACCCAAAGAAGACGTAAATTGGAACTGAATGAGCCACGGAGACATTCAGGCACATTTTTGTTGGCTGGCAATTTTTTATATTTTTAGCCACAGCTACCCAACAATTCTGTCTAACTGGGGCTGATAATGAAGCACCATTATTTGCGGTCAGTCTGCATTTTTTACAGTAATCAGTTGCAATGTTTGCACAGCAATTAGCAAGGCTATCTAGAATAATTAACCAGTAGTTAACCAAGGCATGCTATTTCCTGAAAAGCTTAAGGAAAGGACCAACGTACAGATGTCGTCGTTTTGGCATGCAGAGAATGATAAAGCATGTAGTGGCACTGACAACACTTGTTCCTACGACTGGCTTCTCTGGCTTATATGCAACAAATTATTTAGCTAAATGGTCGTGACTAATTTCAAGCCGAATTACCTCTACCTTCAGGCTATTTCTTTAATTGTAACGATTCTAAAATAAATATAAAGTTGGCTTGGAATCTAGCATGCATATTTATTTATCTATTCATTTCCTTATTTATTTACAACTTGGATGATAATCACAGTGTGTATTAAGTATTTCAAAGAGGGCGTAATCTGAAAGCATGGTCAATAATAATCACAAGATCCAGGTCAGATTCAACACATTACATAAAATCCGTGATCTGATTCCGTCTGCAAAAGATGTGATTCCGGACATACAGTACCCTGGCGTCTACAAAATAAGTTGCCTCTGTGGTAGTAGTTACATTGGAGAAACCAAACGACATGTCTCGGACCGCATCCGTGAACACAAAGCAGACCTAAAACACGGTAGGACCAACACCTCGGCCGTGGCAGATCTTTGTTATAATTCAGTAGGCTCGCATGACATTGACTTCTCCAAGAC